TTTCCTTCATCAATGGTTTATAGTTTTCTGTGTATATTTCTTTCACCTCCTTGGTTAGATTTATTCCGAGGTACTTTATTACTTTGAGCCCTATTTTAAAGGGGATTGTTTCCTTATTTTCATTAAAAAATTAATAGAGGCAGAGAAAATTAAGCAAATGAAAAGGCAGAGGAACTACTCTACTTGAAAGGCCAAGAGAAAACCTCTGGAAAAAATAATGAAACAAAAACAAGATAAGGAATTCAAAACATTGATGATAAAAACATTATCTGAATTACAGAAAAGAATTGATCTAAACAGTGAACAATTTAATGAGAAACCAGAAAACATTGTTAAAAGACCCAATCAGAAATAAACAATTCAATAGCTAAAATTAGAAAACACACTAGAAGGAATGAATACAAAACTAAGTGATATAGAACACTGCATAAGTGATGTGGAAAACAGGATTATGGAAATCACTGAATTAAAACAGCAGAAGGAAAAGAAATTTTCAAAATGAAACAATTTTAGAGATCTCTGAGACAACACTAATTTGCATAATAAAGGTCCTAGAAAAAAAGACAGAGAGAGAGAGAGAAGGGGAACAAAAATGTATTTGAGGAAATTATAGCTGAAGACTTACCAAATCTAAAGAAGGAAATAGATATCCAAGTACAGGAAGCACAGGGGATCCCAAACAAGATGAATCCAAACAGACTCACACCAAGACATATTATACTTACAGTGGCAAAAGTGAAAAATAAGGAGAAAATTCTAAAGAAGCAAGAGAAAAATAGTCATACACAAGGAAATCCCCATAAGCCTAGAAAATTTTTCTACTTCAGAAACATTGCAGATCAGAAAACACTGGTATGATATATTCAAAGTGCTGAAAGGGAAAAAACTGAAACCTAGGATACTCTACCCAGCAAGATTATTATTTAGAATGGAAGGAGAGTTAAAGAAATCCTCCAACAAGCAAAAAACTTAAGAATTCACCAATACTAAAACTACACTAATAGAAATGTTGAAGGGTTTTCTCTAAGTGAAAAAGAAGGAAGGACCTATAGAAAAGGTAAAACAATACTAGGAAAGGTAAATATACATTAAGGACTTAAGATCAACCACATAAATAAGCCAGTATGTAGATTACAAGATAAAAAGAAACTGTAAAAGCAACTATAAATAAAATAAATAATTAAAGAATAAACATGAATATTTAAAACATGACATCAAAAACACAAAATGTGGGGGAGGGGAATAAAAAAGGTAGATCCTTTAGAATGTGTTTAAACTTAAATGACTATCAGTTTAAAACAAGTAGATATAATTATTCATCTATATATACGAACCCCATGGTGACAAATCAAAAACCTGTAACAGATATGCAAAAATTGAAAGAAAGGAACAAAAGGCTGCTACTAAAGAGAATCATTGAAAAATAAGGGAAGGAAAAACAATAAGAAATGAACAAGGAAGAACTATAAAAACAAGCAGAAAACAATTAATTAAATAGCAATAAATATCTACCCACCATAATTACTTTAATTGTCAATGCACTATATGCTCTGATCAAAAGATATATGTCAGCTGACTGTATTTTAAAAAGACCCTTCAAAATTCTGCCTACAAGAGACTCACTTCAGGGCTAAAGACACACAAAGACTGAAAATGAGAAAACAGAAAAAGATATTTCATGTAAACAGAAACAACAGAAAATAGAGGTAGCAAAATTCATAGCAGACAAAATAGACTTTAAAACAAAGGTATAAAGACAAAGAAGGGCATTATATAAAAATAGAGGGATCAGTATAAGAAGAAGATATTATAAACATATATGTGCCGAACATAGGTGCATCTAAAAACATGAAGCAAATAATAAGACACAGGGAGAAATTGACAATAACAAAATAATAGTGACTTTAACACCCAACTTGCATCAATAGATAGAACATCCAGACAGGAAATACGTAGAATCTAAAAAACTGACATAGATGAACTGATTTACCAAACATAAATAGGCTGACAGACATAGAAAACAAACATGGTTACAAAAGGGGAAAAGAGGGGGAGGGATAAACTAGGAGTTTGGTATTAACATATACACACTACTATATACAAAATAGATAAAACAAAGACATACTGTATGGAACAGGAAAACATATTCATTATCTTGTAATAACCTATAATGGGAAAGGATCTGAAAACAAATGTGTATATATATAATCAAATCACTTTACTGTACACCTGAAACTAACACTGTAAATCAACTATACTTCAATGAAAAATAAATAAGTAAATTAGCAAAAACTGGTTTAAATATCTAAATGTAAAACATGAAACCATAAAACTCCTGGAAGAGAAAATTAGGCAAAACACTCTTTGACATAAATCATTGCAATATTCTCTTGGATCAGTCTCCCGAGGCAAAGAATTGAAAGCAAATATAAACAAATGGGAACTAATTAAACTGCAAAGCTTTTGTACAACAAAGAAAATCATCAAAATGAAAAGACATCTACTGAACTGGAGAAGATACATTTGCAAATGATACAAAAAATAAGGGATTAGTATCAAAGTAGGATAACCTAGAAGAAATGGATAAACTCCTAGAAACATACAATCACCCAAAACTGAATCATAAAGAAATAGAAAATCTGAACAGACCAATAATGATTGAGGAGACTCAATCAGTAATCATATACACACCCTCAAAAAGGCTTATTATCAAAAATATGTTAATAGCTCATATAATTCAATATCAAAAACAAACAGCTCAATTAAAAAATGGACAAAGACCTGAAGAGACACTTATCCAGAGGACATGCAGATTGCTAACAGGCACATAAAAAGATGTCCAACACTGCTAAGCATCAGACAAATGCAAATAAAAACCAAAATGAAATACCATCTCACACCAGTCAAAATGGCTATCATCAAAAAGACCACAAACAAATGATGATGACAAGGCACCAAAAAGTGAACGTTTATGCAACATTGTGGGAATGTAAATTGGTGAGGCCACTATGGAAAACAGTATAGAGATTCCTCCAAAAACTAAAAATAGAATTACCATATGATCCAGCAATTCTACTCTTGGGTACATACCCAAAGAAAACAAAAACACTAATTCAAAAAGATACATGCAGCAAAGTTCACAGAAGTATTATTTACAATAAATAGCCAAGATATGGAAGCAACCTAAGTGCTCATCAACAGATGAATGGATAAAGATGTGGTATACATGTGGAATATAATTCAGCCATAAAAATGAATGAAGTTTTGCCATTTGCACAATGTGGATGGACTTGGGGGTGGGGGTGGGTATTTTACTTAGTGAAATAAATCAGACAAGAGACAATATCACCTACATGTGGAAACTAAACAAATAAAACAATTGAATGTATATGACAAAACAGTCTCAGAGATAT